GCAACCTCATCAGCCGATTTGGAGTCCCGCTAGAGATACACTCCGACCAGAGCAGGAACTTCGAGAGCGAGCTATTCAAAGTAGTCTGCGAGAAGCTGGACATCAGGAAGGCCAGAACTACGACACTGAACCTCCAATCGGACTGGCTGGTGAAAAGGATGAACAGGGTCATGGGAAAATACCTGTCAAAGGTAGATCGAACCACCAGCGTGATTGGTACACGTATCTCCCCTTGTTCCTGATGACGTAACGGGCTGCAATTAACAAGTCCACCGCCCAGACTCCGGTGAAAGTATTTTTCTGGCGTAAGCTCTGGCTAGCTTGTGACCTCCAGTTTGGAGTTTGCCCGGAGCAGGTGATGACCACGCATCCACCCTGGAGAGGCACAAGATCGAGATCCATGATGAAGTGCGCAGTCAGATTAAAATTGCGAGTGACTGGATGAAGAACAGTTACGAGGGTGATCATCAACAGGACGACCTGGTGTGGCTGTATAACCAGCAACGAAAGTAAGATCTTTCACCAAAGCTGCAACGGTCCTGGGAAGGCCCTTACGAGAGGTTCTGACGAGGACCAACGACGCCATCTACCTAATTCGGAAGGATGCTAAGGGGAACCCGAGAGTCGTTCACTACAACCGACTGACGCTTTTGGCCGGAAGTAATGAGGAAGCAAGCACCCACTTCCTAGAAGCAGAAAACAGTGAGCCCTCGTTAGAAGAGTTCCATGGAGCTTACGTGGGAATCGGCCAAAGCTCGTTTTGGCGTGACCAGTGAAGTACAGGAGGACTTAGGGGAAACTAGGGAGGGTTGATACGTGAGGAGACTTGATACACCTTCAAATTTCCCGCCTCGGTTTCGTAAAGAATGCTTAGCCTCGTGCAGGGCCGACTGTGAGTGTTGAGTTGAAACAGTAGCTGATAGAATCTCGGAACGAGCGCGTGTTGTTTGGCAGTTTTTGAGGTTATAGTGTGTTTTATACCTATTCGATGTAAGTTGTGTCATACCAAACGTAAGGCTTTAGCTGTTTGATAGGAAAATTAAGAAAAATCTTACGTATTATGCCTCAGGCGCATTTGATTTGCAATATTAGGGCACCAGTATCGATCTTTTAATCAACTGTTGTAATACCTTTACGTTATATATTTCATAAAATTATCATCCCGGGAGGTTTGATACTTTTTGTGTCGGGAGGGTTGATACGTGTATCAAACCTCCCTGTGTGAACTGTATTTATTTTTTCATGCAATTTTTCACTATTTATGTGGTTTTCATGGCAATTACATAGGCTAATTGAGTATATTGTTATAGATGCCTTTTAAATGGAAATCCAAAGGCCGAACAAAGTATTCTCCAGACGATTTAAAAAGCGCAGTGCTTGAAGTAGTGAATGAAAATAAAGCACTTAGGACCACTGCCAGAAAGTACAATGTTGATAAAATGACACTGAAAAGATATGTCTTAAAATACCAGACGGATAAAAGTACCACCTTTTCACCAAGTTTTGTCACTTCGCAAATTTTTTCATCTGATGAAGAATCGCTTTTAGTGGAATACTTGCTCACTTCTGCAAACCTTTACTATGGCCTTACGCCTAAGCAAACAAGGAAGTTTGCGTATGAATTTGCCCGAGCAATTAATAAAAAACTACCAGAAAACTAGAAGAAAAACGAATGTGCTTCCTACGATTAGCTAAAAGGATTCATGTCACGTCATCCAAAATTATCACTGAGAAGTCCTGAAGCCACTTGCTTGGGCAGAGCGACTGCGTTCAATCGACGTAATGTGCAAGAATTTTACAAAAAATTGCGCAATTTATTGGAACTGGAACCTTTTGGTCGAGAATCTGTCTATAACTTAGACGAAACAAGAGTGACTACTGCGCACAAACGTCAAAAGATCATTGCTCGTAAAGGCCAAAAGCAAATATCAAAAAGTACCTCAGCAGAGCGTGATACACTAGTGACAGTCTGTTGTGCTATAAATGCATTGGGAAATTCTGTGCCACCATTTTTTATATTTCCTCGTGTAAGAATGCGGGATTACATGATCCAAGGTGCTCCTCCAGGCTCCATTGCTGTGACGCATGAAAGCGGTTGGATGACTGCTGATAATTTCGTAAATGATCTAGATCACTTCATAAAACAAACAAAATGTTCGAAAGAAAACAAATGCATATTGGTCCTTGACAATCACGAGAGCAATATTTCACCCAAAGCCTTAGAAAAATGTAAGTTAAATGGCATTCATTTATTAACCTTACCACCTCACACAAGCCACCGACTACAGCCACTAGACGTATCGGTATTTGGTCCGTTCAAGAGGTATTATAATGAACAGGCAGATTCCTGGATGGTCAGTCATCCAAGACAAACAATTTCATTGAAAAATGTACCGGAATTAGTTGGATTAGCTTATGTCAGGGCGTTTACACCTTCAAATATAACCAAAGGATTCTCAACAACTTTAATCCATCCTTTCAACCCACATTTATTTGAAGATCTCGATTTCGCAGGAGCAGAAGTTACAAATAGACCAAATCAGGAATTAGAGCAAAATTCTGAAAAAGAACTTGTTAGAAATGACCCAATAGCTCAACCTGGCACATCCATATCCCAGCAGGAGTCAACACCACAACCTGGCACATCTTCATTATTTGAAGAGAAGACAACTTCAAATACAAAGAACACTTCTTTAAAGGGTAGCACTACTATCCAAAGCACCACATCTGCTTTATTCAAAAGTCCCGAGGAAGTACGTCCTTACCCCAAGGCAGTGCCACGATTGAAAAAAGGACGCAGAAAGCCTGGCCGGACCAGAATCTTAACCGACACGCCGGAAAAAGAAGCAATTGAGGCCGAATATAATATGAGGGAAGAAAAGAAACGGATGAAAACGAAAACTCAACAGGTTAAACGAAAAATAGGTAGTGAAACTGAAAAAAATAATCACTTCGAACAACTCAATGCCGATGCCAATGTGTAGTGAAACCCACCCCAACAGAAAAGTTTTGGTTAGAAATGCAAAAACGGAAAGACCTGTGTTCGATTACTCGGATTCTGAAAACGAAAACGAAAAGGATCCATTTGCTGATGACGATGCCGCTTGCATCTACCGCAATTCACTATTTTCAGCGTCTCGTTCTCGCGAACAGTGGATTCGTTGCCAGAAATGTCTAAAATAGTGCCATTCAGCCTCTGCAGATGTCAAGCCTAATATAAAAATGTTTTCTTGCGAATTATGTATTGATTAGTTAATGTTCTAATAATAAAAGATTGCAGTCCTTCTAGTGTTTTATATTTAATTTCTTATTTTATCAAACCTCCCTCAGTGTATCAAGCCTCCCTTTTATTTTTTTTTTTTTTATACTCCAACTACCACGAAGGCCTAAGGCCTAAGCACCCATTGGGTACCGTGGGGCTATGGGGGATACATGGGAAAGGGGGCACGCCACACGGACTCTGGCGAGGGAACACGTGTGCATGCAACATGCACACATTCTGGCTCCGCCTACGAGAACCGCCGGGTGGTACCTCCGCGTTCGACAGTCAGAGACCATCTACCACCTACGGACAATCACAACATCCATGGCCAAGAGAAACATTTCTCCTGGGACGGGAATCGAACCCGCACAGCGCACGGCGACTGATCAGGAGACCGAAGAGTCTACTACTGCGGCCACCGCTGCTGCCTAAAACAAACACACAACATCCATGGCGAAGGCGAGATTCGAACTCGCGGCCCGGCCGGCCGGCTGATCAGTAGCACGACACTCTGACCCACGCGGCCAACCGAAGTCCCAGAAGGGAGGTTTGAGACACTTTACATTGAGAATTTCAAAATTGTATATTCAAAGTTAAACTATTTATTTTCAGTAACCTAATGTTGGCAAATTTCTAAGCGAAGTCATTTAATTGAGCTCTGACATAAATGGATTAGCAAATGTTAATCACAGAATGTTTATTAACATTTTTGTAAAAAACGTATCAACCCTCCCTAGTCTCCCCTATATATTTTTGCTGACTCTGGGGTATAACGTCCCTGTTCCAGAAAAGGTTTTGGCGACGGAGGTTCGACGAGCAACAGCCGTATGTTTTGAAGGTGCTGTGTGTTCTGAATGGTGGCCGATTCGTCTACGCAGTGGTCATCAGCCGCCGACCTATCAAGCAATGCGGGAAGTCCTGAGAGATGGAAGTTGAAATGTGAGCGAGGTGGACTGGATTGGAGGACCGTACGAAATATGCTGGAGCTGTTATTTCAGCATACGGGAATGGAAATTCAGGCCAAGAGAAGACGATTCCATGCCACAAAATGTTTACATCCTTATCCCTTCCCTACCCACAAGGACATACAGCCCTTAGTTCCTGGAACGTCTAGCGGCGACCTCCCTGTAACCGGTTTTTTGGTTCCAGGGATGTTCCTTAAACGTGTTGCGACTTTAGGAAACCTACCGGAAACGTCTCACAGAGGTCGCATGATGTCGTTCCGAGAACGTCTTTAAGTCGTATTTGTGCCATTAGGGTAGTATGATAACACTCCTCTGCACCTTATAAGTGTTTTAATTGTTCCTATTTGCATTATAACTGTTACACACATAATTCGCAACATTTCCCCAAAGTTTTGCGTGACTAACTACAGACAACAGACTTCTTCGAAACTTTCATTGTGCCAAACTTTCGGCATTTTTTGCTCTAAAACCAAATGTGAAGTATTTAAAAAAATGATTCAAACACGTTATTCAACAACCCTGAAATAGTTTGATCTTTTTATCCACCCATTATTTGCCACCCCGATATAATTTTGCTGGATGTGACATCTGTCAGTGATATAATTAACTGTTACAAATCTTAGTGCAGATATCTGTAATATATGAAAAATTAATGAAGAGTTAATTACAATTACTATAGATGCCATCAACACTTTAAAATTAGCGAAATACCACCTAACAGAAACAACAGGAACTTCTATTTTCAGATGCTAGTGACATCTATAACCTACAAGGTAATGCGTAATTGTCCTTTTCCTTTGACAGTTGGAACATGTTGTCATCATGTGATGTGTGATGTCATTTTCTAATGTCAGAGTTTGTCAATTTGTCATTTGTTTTTTTGTGTAAATTTTGACGTTATTTTTATGTGTAATGTTTGAAGAATACATTCGAATGCTTGCAATAAAAGATCAAATATCGTGCGGTGAGTAAATATTGAAAAAGAAATGGAGAAATTTGCTATAGATCTAGATCAAGTTTTGAATGATTTTGAATATAAGGAGCTGACTGATCAGTATACCAGCAAAAACGTTCCAGAAAGTCGAGCATCATCTACCACAAACCAAACAGAAAAACACACTATAAACAATGTGTTCCACAGTTTGAATGAATATTTGAATACTAGTGTTAAAATAACCAGACTAGAACCTAGTGACAATAATCTTACAAATGAGATTGATTCTCAGCTCCCCTGCAGCCCCAGTTGTAGTGTTGGACCAAGATATTCTCATACACAAGAGGACACAAAATTAATAAGTGATGTTTCCGATGAAGGCCAAAACTGTGATCTAGATAATGAAAATGTACAGGATTTTTTAGTTGGATCTGAAAATGTAGAAATTGAAGCTGTGGTACCCAAGACTGAGGATGAAATAGTTGTAAAAGATGTTAAATTATGTGATGTAGTAACAGGATATACTGTCCTAAATACAGAGGATAAACAAGTCGTTCTAAGGGAACCACATTATCCAAATAGTAAGTAAAATTACTTGGTGCTTATAATTGTTAAACTTTATATGATCTTGATTTGTATTGATATTCTTGGATTTGTTTATGCTATTTGAGTAATTTTCTCTAAGAGCAAAGATTCATAACTGGCATAATTTTGTTCCGATTACTTATGTTTATCAATTACATGCTCAATATTTATTGATAAATGACATAAAATACACCAGCTTTATCTGTATGTTATGCAATCTTACATTTTAACATTTAGCAGATTTACATGTTTGAATTCTTAATCCTTTTTATTTATCCACAGACCAGAACACAAGTAATTCTGAGAGAAATGAGATATGCTATGAAAATGCAGAATTAGAAAATGAAAATCTCAGTGCAGGAAATCCTGATACTGGTATAACTAATTTGAAACCAGATGAACCTAATACAATAGATAATCAAACAATTAAAGAAGAAATATTGGCAAATATTTCTCAAGAAGACCTTGAAGCTCAGATTGCAGAAGAAAAATCTAAAGTAAAAAGTATAGAAGCAGAACTTATTGCAGAGATTGGAAATAAAATCCCAGGTCACACATTGAGTCAAGTACCACAGGTCACATCAAAAATTGGGTTTGACACAAATTTGGACTTGGATGATAAGGAGATCAGTAAATTGCTAGATGAACTAGAAGAAGATGAGGATTTGAGTGAATTTGGATTGCAAAAAAACATGGCAATACAGGCTGAGTGTCATAAGGAAGATGCTATCCAACAAAAAGTTGAACAAACCAACCCATTTGAGGAACAAGACAGTGAATCTAGGGATGAAACTGTTCCTTCAGTAGAGGCAAACATTAACTTAAGTTATGATGAAAAATCATCTAGCTTAGAACCCACAGTTGATACTGAAGCTAAAAATGAGGGCACACATACCATCAGTAAAACAGACAGAGATACTAATTCAGGAAATACAGAAGTCACTATAAAAAACACCGAAAATGCTGAATGTGAAAAATCAATAGCTTGTGGATTCAAAGAAAATACTACTATTGAAGATTCCATTTGCACTGAAAATTGTGGCAACAAAATAGTTTCTGTTAGAGAATGTGCTATAGATGACAGCAAAATACCTGTCAGCCAAGAACATATGGAAACTACTGAAAATGTGGAAGAAAAGGAAAGCTCCACATCTGATATAGATGCTACAAGATCTATTCAACATTCAGCTGAACCAGCAATTAATAATGAAGGCCTCCATGAAAATAGTGCTGTTAAAGATGCTGACAGTAATGTGGTTGGTAGTGAAATAGTAGATGATGAAAGAATTACTGCTTCAGTAGGTGATGTCCTAATTAAACCTAATGAAGACTTTACTCTAGTTGCTTCAGAGGAAATGCAGACTGTCATCAAAATTGAAGATGAAGATTCTACAAAGGAAAAACTAGAAACCAATGATCATGAAATAAGTCAGTCCAATGACAGGAAACTTATTAATCAAGAATCTAGTTCTTTAGAAAAAGATAACTCCCAAGATTCTTTGACGAGACCCCAGAATCTTCCACTCAAAGACTCAGAAGATATAAAAAGGAACATAGATTTGATTGGTGGACCTGGTTCAACTCCTTACAATAATGTTTATATTGATAAGGAGATTGAACAAACAATGCATGACAGTGATACTGACAGTTCTACTTCATCTTCACCTAGCTTTTCAGGTAATAACCATTTTTACATACCTACATATTGATAAAAGTAATTTATTATTTGAAATATATAGTTTTCAACATAAATTGTTACTTTTCATTAGTATGTGAGGAGTTATTAAACATTTTAGTTATTATATAACATGTATCAAAAGTAATATAGTTGTGTGCTCGATTTCCAGAGAGATGCCATACTTATTATAAAAGATTTCTTACTACCATCTATCTCAAAATTTAAGATATTTAGGATACATGTTATTGTAAGTAGTATGTTGTTTTTTTAAATGGACTCAAGACTTGACCTCTTAATTATTTTACCTTTTGAAATGTCCTGTATATCTCTTGGTTCTTTTTAGATACCAATAGTGTTTCAACAGCATCTACAGAAGAAATCCAAGATGATGATTTGCCAATTAATAGAAATCCATTTGAAAATCCATCTAAACCAGACCATAATGAAATATCTGTAGGTGTGGTGGAAAGTTGTCCCACAGAATCTGTCGAAAGAGAAAATGTAACAAATTCAGACAATCCTGTCACTTCACAATCTACATCTTTAACAAGTGGTGATATTGCATCAGGTGTATCTTCTAGAGAAGAAGGTAGGGAAAATTTATATTCGAATCATTAGGGTCAATGAATGTACACAGTATTGTAACTAAATTTCAATTATCTTTCTTTTTCAAAACTATAGCTGATAGTGTTTACTGCCTAGTCATTTTATATATATATATATATATTTGTACTTGATTTACCTATTAGTAGTGTACTATTAAAAAGTCATGTTACCTGTGATATTTGATATTTTTTCTTGCAGATAAACCTAACCCAAGTGCGATTCCATCTGATAAATGTTGGCTTGGCAAGGAAGCTCCTCTTTGGGTACCAGATTCTGATGCATTAGCATGTCTCCATTGTGACATGAAATTCACTGTACTAAAGAGAAGACATCATTGCAGGGCTTGCGGATTGGTATTGTGCTCTAAATGCTGCCATTTGAGGTTTCGGTAAAGATTATAGATTTAAGCAATCAGATTTAAAACAAGTCATGCTTTGCAAACAATGGTGCTTCATTGTGCTGAAAAAAAGATATTGAAAAATAATTCACGCATAATCTAGTAAAAGTATTCTCATAGTCTTCTTTTTAAATGACATCTAAACCACCCTTAAGAATTGCTTTCCAAAAAGAGACTACATCAAACATTCTGGAGATTTTATGGTTTCAAAGTAATTGTACTTTACCCGCAAAAAAGCTAGAAAAATCGATGTTGCTTATCTGTGCCTTGTCACCCACGTGATATTAGCAACAGCTAAAAAAATATCCATGAAATGGGAAACGTCATGCTAGGGTGTATGCCTTGTTTGAAATCTTTAGGATGATTTCAAAATTCAGTCTTACAAGTCCAGTTTCATCTCATCTCCTAAGTGATGTCTCAATTTTTGTATATAAGAACTTATAAAAACATATTTACCATTATCAAATAAAAAAAGTATGTGAATGCCCTTGAAACCAGTAAATGAAGGATCATAATAGAATCTTGTCACAAGGTCACTATTATGCCAAGGACGAAAAACATATATGGCTTTTGAAAATCGGGCTAACTAATTATGAGCGAAAGTGGAGCAGCTCAGAATGTACCTAAACTTCCTTCTTTGAGTTTCTACTAATTGTTTGATGTAGTCAAAACAATTTTTTGGGAACCTAAAGTTATAAAAAGAGTTGAAACATTCTTTTTCGGCGTTAATCATTCTGGTCACATTAAGGCATAGTCAATTTTGGCTTGTCATTTTTTGGGAAGAACTGATAGTAAGTCTACCTGGCTTCATAATCTTAGAGTAACTGCAACTATTCTTTTGATGCTTTCAGATTGGAGTACTTAGACGGCGAGGGTCGAGTGTGCAACAAGTGCCACGACATCCTAAACATGCGCGACCTGACCAGCGGAGGCGGCGAGGGGTCAGCAGTCGCCATAACTCCAGGTAGTCCAGCTGGAGACTCCTCCAGCAGCGGAGGGTCCCCAGAGTCTTCAGCGGGGGACTCGCGCAGACCCAATCCAAACAACCCTTTGGAGTACTGCTCGACAGTGTCCCCATTACAGCAAGCTGCTGCTGGAGGCGCTGGGAGGTCAGGAGTAGCGCAGCCCCCAGCTGTGATGGTCCCTATTGGGGTACTCAAGAGGAAGGGCAGCAACAAAGGTATGTTAATGAGGCGGAGACGGCAGCATTGTTGAAAAAAATAATAATACTATGTGCCCCACATATAACTGCAAATATTTTTAAAATAGTGGTCGTACCGGAAATGGATACCAACTTGTTTGTTTTAAATAGAACACCTTGTCTTACACCGAAGCAGCTCCGCAGGCAAAAGCCTAAATGCCAGGACACCGCGGCTGCTATGAAGAGCTTAAAGAAACTTTGTTAATCCGATTTTTGAAATGCCTAAGGTCAGTAGAACTGGGAAAAACATCCTCATGTATATTGTTCCACAACCTCGATACCCTAGGGACAAAGGAGAGGTCGTATTGGCCAGTTCTGAATGTGCAGAGTTCGACACGGTTAGGATGGGAGGCTGAAGTCAGGCGGGTCTAACTGGCAGGCTCATCGCGCGACGCCATCATGGAGGAAGCTCTGAGGAACAAAGTTCATTGGCGTAGCGGTAGAAGAGAGCTAGATCGCCGACGGTCCGCCGGTGCGAAAGGGTCCCGAGACTTTCTGTTAGGGAAGAATCATCGATCAGTCGGACAGCCCTCCTATGAACAGCATTAAGCATAGATAATGTAGTGGGGGGGAGCACTCCAAACATGTGAGCAGTACTCGAGGCTAGGTCTTATCTGGGCCTTGTATAGAGTGAGGAGGTCATGCGAAGAAAAGTGCGTCTTCGCCCCAAATAAATAGCGTGGCTTTTACCCAGCAGCTGCCGCTATTGACAAAATGTATTCGTACCAGATCAAGTCGTCGGTGCAGGTACAGTGCTGTGTTTTGGAATCATTGAACTGTACCAGATTGTTGCTTCCCCAAGCAGTATCCTCCAGTTCTCTCGTCAGAAAGGAAGTCTCTGCTAGTCTTATTTTCCTCAGTTCACCAGCAAATATTGGCTTATCACTCAGAATTCCAGCATGTAGAGTGCTTATATCAGCAAAGTTGTGGTTGGGAATGACCGTACCGGAAAGAAGATCGTTGATATGTAAGAGGAACAATGTCGGAGCCAAGACCTATCCTTGGGGAACACCCACGTTGACGTTGTGGGGTGAAGAGGAGAACCCCCAATATTATGACGGATATCTTGCAGTCTGAGAGAAAGTCAGCCACCCATCTGCAAAGCTTTCCAGGGAGGCCATAGGATGGAAGTTTGCATAAGAGGGCAGCATGCCACAGCTGACCGAATGCTTTCGTGATATAAAGAGCAATGACCTGAGCTTCACTATAGGATTGGATGAATTGGATGAGCTTACTCCACAGTTCCGTGACGTAAACTAGGAGGTCTCCTGTGGATCACTGTTGCCGGAAACCATACTGACTCTCGGTAATCAAGCCGTGACGTTCCAGGTACTCCATAAGCTTCCGATTTATGCATCTCTCCAGCACCTTACTTATAACAGAAAGCAGAGGTATAGGCCTGTAGTTGTAAGAATGGTTGTGCCTGTTATTCAATATTTGGTTTATACGCGAGATTGTCAATACATTTCACATATATCATCCTTCACCTAAGTCTAAACAACTTTGAGATATCTCAAACTTAGTAAAAATATGACAAATAATGTAGGTCAATAAATTATAAAAAATGTTTCTCGTTTGTTTGCCTTTGCTGTACGATTTGTAAATCTTCTTATAGTAGAGGAACTACTTCAGTGGATTCTATTGCAGGTTTGGAGAACAAATACAAGGTGATCAAAATAGAGAATGATAGTAGAATCCAAAGAACCCAAAAAGTCAGTTTTTTCATATGGAAACCGTCTTTTTAAAAGTGTTCTAGCTGAGACATTATCAAATTTTCATAATTCTGTAACGTCCATGTTTCACGTGCTTATTATTCTAATTGGGGGAAGTTTCAATTCCACAGATTTACATGGGAGACGTTGCTAGTAGGTTGCGATCCACAGTGTGTTGATTTGCGGTTGTCGCCTTGACAAGTGATCATTCAGCAAGTTTTCATATCTGACATGTCATCCCATAAGAAAATATTCCAACTCCATTTCCTATTATATTCGCCAACACCAAATGCTCCGAGAGTGCTACTTCCATAGGAAGGTATCGTTTTCCCATTAACAAGCTTTTGTAGATTTTCATTAATTAGGTCCCAAGCATTTGTTTGCAAAAACGTGAAAATAAGGACAAACAGGTCGCGTACACGAACAGTGATTAAGCTACTTAAAAAAAGTTCATCCAGTAAAATTCATTTCTTTACAGATTTGTCTGTCCGTATTAGGCAAGTTAAGGCCGTCAATAAATTAAACGTTCTAATCTTTAATAAGTATTTGGAGCCTGGCGTCCTAAAACGGCCTCTTTACGATCTACTTAGAACTCTATTAAGAACATTTTCTCAGAAGAGGCAAAAAATTACCCGTACTAAATACAAAGGGTGCTATAAAAGTTTTGTAATATGACTTAACAAACGGACGCAGGAGGCTTCATGTTACTGCATGTTGAGACATGTCCATGAGTGTATAGCAGCCGCCAGCAGCACGTCTATTGATATAGTTGTTCATTCGTATTTACAGTGTAAAGTGCGGACTATGGCATCGTGGTCACGTAGTGAGATAAGGGCAGTTTAACGGTATAACTTTATGCGTGGTGTAAGCATAGACCAGTGCTTAGAATGATTGTCCCCATCGTACGACTATGTTCAGGTGGTACAGAGAATTCCAAAGGAGCAATTTCACTCTGGAGGACGCTGGAAGGGAAGGAAGGCCGCGAACGTCAGTAACAGAGGATAACATTACTGCTGTGAGGAAAATGCTTGACAAAGACCGGAAAGTGACATACCAAAAGATAGAGGAGACTTTACACCTTCATGCACCAGCAATTTATTCAATTTTGCATGACCATTTACACGTAAGGAAACTTTGTTCTCTCTGGTTAACGCATAGTCTGACGGAAGAGCAGAAGACTCGTCGTACGACTTGGTACCGAAAGATGCTGAAAATGTTTAATAAGGAGCAATCTCTGTATGTAAACAGCATTGAGACTTGGCTCTATTATTACAAGGCTCAAAACAAAGTGTGGGTCTTCGGTCTTTGATGATCAAGACCCACCCGTAGCTGTCAGAAAATTTCCGATCTGTTAAGAAAAAAATGATAGTTGTATTTTTCAAATCGAGCGAGATTGTGGAGCATGTCGTTTTGGACACACAGGACAGTCACAGCTAAGTGGTACACGGATCAGTGTCTGCCTAAAGTCATAGAGTCTATGAAAAACTGCAGCCAAAGTCAAGAATGAACACTTGGTACTCCACAATGAGAACGCTCCAGCTCACCGCGCCAAAGCCTGCACCGAGTATTTGACCACTACTGGACTGAAACTTATTTAGCACCCTCCTTACAGTCCAGATCTTGCTCCGTGCGACTTTGTATGAGGACCTTCTGAGGGCTTGGGACAACGAGTGAAGCTTGGCAGAGCTGGTTTGACTGGCTTTAGCTAATTGAGAAGTGTATATGGTGGAAGTTACTTTGAACGAAGTCAATAAACTAAGCTGTATCGCAAAACTTTTATAGTATTCTTGCAGTTGGTTGTTTTTTTTAACATTTTTTAATAGTCCCACCAACGTACACATGCGACATGTTTAACTCTAAGGTAGGTGATGAATAATGAAATTGGAATGTTTTTACCAACACATACTCGTACGTCACTTCTTATAAACATAAAATCAACGACTGGAAAATAGTATATCGTCACTCTTCCCGTGGAATTTTGTAGGTAAATGTTTCGAGATTTATAATAATTCTGAGTTGTTTTACTATCCTGAAAATAGTAACTTTTGCTTATTTTGGGATTATATATTTTATCTCAGAAACGATCAACATTAGATAATGTTTACCAAGGTCCTTCTTATTCAGAATGCGATAAAATGACCGGAGAGAGAAGATTTTAGTTGTTGGTAGAAAATAGGTTAGTCCTCATTCTGAGGCACCTCATGAATGTGAGTATAATGTATCGGATGGGAATCTTTTTTTAACGCTGTCTTGTCTGCCTGTATAGTTACTAATAAAACTATAAGTATTTAAGAAATCCGTATTATTCCTTGATGTCAACTCAACTGTGACATTCTAGAAAATTCTAGAAAGGAGACTAGTTATAATACTTACGAGTATTATTTTACCTAGGTAAGTCGAATAAAAGCGTGATGTTTTGCGACGGCATCCGGCCTGGTAGCGACCTTACAAATCTGGACAACGATTTCAACTATAACAACACCAAAACAAAGAAGTTGGAGAAAAATTCTACGTCAGCGTGTGCCGGAAAAATCAACAGGCATCTTCCCATCATCGACTCGCAAACCAACTCGTTTATTCCAAGCAACGAGAACAATCTTCCACCTACTGTAACATTTTGCAAGACAGAAATCACTTATACAGGTATTGTTTATTGCTTTTTTATCTATTATTGTTAAAGCCGGGTCTCGCCGACTGCATTGAAATCAGTTTAACCATTAATCAACGATAAATCGGCACCGTTATTACATAAAAAATTGTTCAAAAAATGTTTGACACAATTTTCCGGCAAATCCGAAGATACTACCTAGACTATACATACTAGCTACGATTGCCTTGTAGTAGCTGTGTGTGTTACCTAATCGTCAGGTATGTGCTATTGGTGCGATGTGTTTGACTTAATGTAACATCTGCTTCAAAGGTGGCACTAGGGGAGGCCATTCATAGCGTGTATAGCCTAATCTGTAAGTTGTATTCTCTGGATGCGCAATAATACCGCCACTTAACGGATTTCAATCAGAAATATTTGTACTTGTCGATATTAACGAAAGTGACAGACATTTAGTCAATTTGAGATTAGGAACAATTTGAATTTCAAACTGACAATTCTCTTATGATCTGACAAATGATGACAATGAATTATTTGCACCTTTGTCAAGTCCCAGTTGACCCCACATCACACAGTTTTGACCATAGAGAACACGCCTATATTCCACTATATATCCGATGATGGTTCTGTTTTTGTCCACCGCTTGCTATAGCTAGACATCTGCATCGGTGGGCGCTCCGCGCGAGTAGACGTGGCATGGTCTATCCGACTAGCTCGTACCTGTTGCGAATTATGGTGATCAGATTGCTAACATATGGTTTGTTCGTATAGCCTGTTTGCTGACAATCAGCAAACTGATAGTCGGCGACAAGTCATGACCTAGTTTACTCGGTTAGCTGTCACTGACAAGTCGCTAACTGTATAGATTGCGTACATGAGAACATTACGAGTTGGCTGAGGGAGCTAAGACCGATTACCGACAACTAATCCGCTGTTCGTACAGACCCTTCTGACTGTTTAATGACTGTCAAATTAGTCAGCAGATAATTTGCCAGTACATTGTCAGAGCTCAAAATTAAGTACAATAATCATTCGAATTTAAAATTTTTCAGAATGAAAAGTGGGGGATGTTCATTTGCTGTAAACCAGAATGATCTAGGATTTATCATCCAACTGCCCTAATGTGCCCGAATTTTCGTCTAGAGAGGAAAACATGGGACACTTTCTAGAAAAAATAACAGCACCCAAAAATGTCAAGTAGATTTACTCAGTAATTCCCATTCAATTCTCATTTAAAAAGTATAAACATAAATTCAAAGAAATGTGATTCCACACATCGAATGACAAGTTGAAGAAGTAAATAGTAAGAATTCTGAATAAACGTCTGCAGTGATTATGCATGAGAAATATACAGGGTGGCGCAGAGGAAACGCACGATTTTCACCTAAGCATAACATTTTTTATTTTCAAGTTAACTTTGTTTCAGTTACAGCTAAATAAAGTAATGATAGTGCACTTTTAAACTAATGATGGTAAATAACGTCACTCAAGTGTCGCCCTGCTTCGCGCTCGCACATCTCCAACCGCTCTTGAAAGTTGTGCATTACACGTAAAATCATTTCTTGTGGTATTCTTGCAATTTCTTGACGAATAGCAATTTTCAGTTCCTGTAACGTACGAGGCTTGTGAGGGTACACTTTATCCTTAAGGTAACCCCACAAAAAGAAGTCGCATGCGGACAAATCTGGGGAGCGTGGGGGCCAAGGGACATCGCCGAAACGGGAAATCACATGTTCAGGAAACATCTGCCGAATCCATTCCATTGATGCTCTCGCTGTGTGAGCTGTGGCACCGTCTTGTTGGAACCACAGCTCTCCCATGTTTACTTGTTGCCGTTGAAGTTCGGGTAACAGAAAATTTTGTAACATGTGAACATAACGTGCTGAAGTAACTGTTACTGCTCTTTCTTCCTCTTCAACAAAGTAAGGACCAACGATACCTAATTTACTGATTCCGCACCACACAGTTAATTTTTGACTATGCAAGGGTCGTTGGTGTAGCTCTCGTGGATTTTCGGCCGCCCAATACCTACAGTTCTGCTTGTTTACATATCCTGTTAAATGGAAGTGTGCTTCGTCACTCATCATTATGACGACGTCAGGATCGTCAGCAAAAATGGCCCGCATTCTCGCACAACATTCTCTACGCTGTGCAAAATCGCTTTCCGTTAGCTCTTGCACGATCATTATCTTGTACGGATGATATTGTAAATCGTCATGCAGAATGCGTTGTAACGACCGACGGGACATACGCAGAGTTGGAGCTTGGCGCCTAGTGGACCGTTGGGGACTATCAAGGACCGCTCTTCTCACTGTTTCGATATTGCCTGGAGTCCGCACGGTACGGGGAAGGCCAGGTGGCTTCCTCTTCATTACGGATCCAGTACTTCGAAATGCTTCAACCCATCGGAGTATTGTGTTTCGATCTGGAATTGGCCCGTGGCGTTCAACATTGAACTGTCGACGGAATAAACGTTGCACGATCACTACAGAATCATCGTTTCGAAAAAATTGCTCGACGGCAAACACACGATGCTCCGTCATCCACGGTGCCATGGCTGAAACTGCATCGCATGTGTTCTCTGCTGGCGGTGCGGCGAGGTCATATCCCTATTCTGTGCGAAATACCATTCGGTCAGAAAACATGCGTTTCCTCTGCGCCACCCTGTACAAAGTATTGTGAATAGCTTTTAATAAAACTCGGATAGTAGTGTTTTTGTTCCCTGTTCCCTTGTCGCCCAGCCTCGAAGTGTATGCACAAACAGTATTTATATATTCTAGGTGTGTAAGTCCAACCCAAAACTGGTAAAAAAATTACGAATTCTGGAGATTTTGTGATACAGCTTTTTTTTTACGGGTTTCCTCGGAGAGGGAGTGGCCGACTGTTTCTGCTGGTGTGAAAATGGTATTTTCCCTATACAGGATATTTTAAATTCGACCCTCACCATTGAGAACTTTTAAGGGATACGGTCGGTTAAATAGTGACAAAGTTGCATATTCAGATAATCAAAATGATTTTAATGTTCTCTTGACTGTATTTGTGATGGGATTTCAAAATAAATTGCACATCAACTATGCCACATTTTCTCCTCTACAGGATAGCACAATCAGAATTTCAATATGACGTTTCGTCTCTTGTCCTGCAGCATCAACTTAATTTTTTCTTATAGACGCCATATTGGATTTTTACACACATGAATAGAATTTTTATTATGATTTCAAAAGTGTGTATGTCATACATTGACATTGCAAAACCTTATTTATTCCAGTAGTTCCTAGGTAGGCCTTGAAATTATCAGATTTCATTTGTTTGCATAGCAACAGAGTTTGGAAAACTGAAGACCTCTGGTTATTATTGTTATTACCACCAATAAAAATTTCATTTCGTGTTCAGGATTCACCATAATCTTTTTATTTCCTTATAATTTCCATCCAACAAATTTATGGTGAGCTAACGAAATACGTCACTGAATTTAGGGCTGAAAAGTCCATTTGAATGTACAAAATTCTAATATAGCGTTCGTATAAAAAAATAAAGTTGATGATGGAAGTCGAAAGAAGAGATGTCAAATTGAAAATTTGATTACGCCATCTTGTAGACGAGAATAAGTAACGATGGCACGTGGCAATGTTAATGTGCAATTTATTTTAAAATCCAAATATAAATAAAGTCAGGAAAAAATCTAAACGATTTTGGGAAAATTTACTTTTTTCCGTCACCCTCCGGAAGTACTTTGAATTTCGAAACTTTCTAAGTGTCATTTCGTTGATTACCCCATTTAAGCAACTTCGTATCCCCTACAGTGTCCAAGATCCCAATGGTGAGTGCCGAATTTGAATCGCCCTGCATATGCAGACTCTCACTAGAAGAAAGAAGTAAAAATACTAAAATACTACAAGGACTTAATAACGTCTTTGAATGACAAACGGTGTTATACACTAAATTTAAAATGAAATTTCATTCTGCCACTTGCTCACCCGAAAATGTTCCAGAAACTTAATGCTGTTGAATTGTGGCACTGTTTCCTCCACGAAATTCAAGTTTTTGGGTTTCCATTATCTCCTCCAGTAGATCTTCAAGGTCTTCATCTTCTTAGTATATCGCTCAGTTTTTTTTTACACCGAAGCCTTCGCGCAGGTGAAGCCTACATGCCAGGGCACCGCGGCTGCTTTGAGGAGCTTAAAGAAACTTTGTTATTCCTATTTTTGAACTGCCTGAAGTTAGTAGAACTGGGAAAAGCTCCTAATGTAGATTTTTACACGATCTCGGCACCATCGAGACCTAGCTCCACCAACGGTTCGTCGGTGCGAAGGTGTCCCCAGATCGTCCATTAAAGCAGAGTAGTCGATCATTAAATGCTGCGATATTTAGAGAAAGTGAATATGTGAAGAAACGTGGGAACGTATCGACACGGCACATGATTTCACTATCTATAATGTAACGATAGGTCCATCTTATTTTGATGCAGAAGTGTGCATGATAACTTATATTAGCTTACATGCCGTGACAATAGTTTCCACCATAAAAAAGGGAGGTCCATGTCTCTCCTTGTTTATAGAATATAGTTATTCAAAATACTTTTCCTTTATCATGTTTCATTATTAACCTCTGTAGAACTAAAGTGGCCCATTGACTGGCTTGTACCGCCACGTGGCTCTATTGGTGCTGAGGTATTCCTTAAAACATGAACAAACACTCGCAAACTTGAGAAAGCAGTACATTTTGAGCATTATTATGGCCAGATTGAGGTTGTTCCAAATAGCAGAAAATGTTCAGGATGCCGCAACGATTGTGTACAGTTCAGAATGCTCGCAAGCTGTAAGGGCAAATTTTTTTGTTTCCATCCACTGCCCCACCCGATAGCATTTCAAGCACACAAAAAGTCTACTATAAAAATTTTTATTATACCGGAAGCGATTTATTTTATTATATAATTTTATTATTGCTGCTCCAATTTTATAACTGACATGATATTCTTTTTATTCTGATTCCAGAGTGTTCTAATGCTCCAGCCCTTATAGAAACCTTGAAGAAAGATCAATTGACGTTTGCCATCCACATAAACCTGTACGTCCATCTCAAACTAATTAACATGAGCTGTTGTATCAATAAGTGGGCATGGTGTTTCTCAACCGAAGGCTTAATTAACGTAGGCCAAGACGAGGTTGTCTACTTGATCGAATACATCAATGCAGAAGTGACAGTGCCTAAGGATATCTTCCATCACATCAGTGGACTATATTGGTATTGAAAAAGTATTCACTTTACGCTTCTAAACAGTAATGTCAGTCATCCGGAGGATCCATTAACCTCCAAAATATGTTCCAATGAATTTTTACGATAACATACTTTATTTCGTCAAATTGCATATACATCTCAAAACGCAGTACAACATTCACAATATCAAATGTCAAATATTTGCCAGATTTGTAACTTTGCTATTCAGACTAAAATATGTGATTTTTTTATGTAGAATGGTACAAATACTTTTTCGTCAGAATTCTGACAACTATTGAGGTGATTAGCCTATCAGCAAGTAACATATTTGCATTAAAGTATGTACTTTTGAGAGTAATGAATTGGGTGAAACTCAAATAGCATAGTGAAAAACAGTTTATTCATTCTTATGTAACTGTTTTTATGAACAAGAATATGGTTTGAACTGTTTAGCTGAAATTTTGACATTTGCTTGTCTGATTCAAACTTATAACTGTAACAATTGGTTGAACAATATTCATTTCAGTGATGCTGTGAAAGGCAACTCGGTAAGTGAACTGGGCGTATCCTTGCACAACTCGCCCAATTTTCTAGACTCGAAGAACCACGCTGGTTTCGTCTACATTCGCCCCACTTTCCAATGTATGGAGAACGTGATCAAGCCCAAGGACCCTTACGTCATCGGCATTCTTATCCATAGATGGGAAACTCCATGGGCGAAGTTGTTCCCTCTGAGGCTCGTTTTGAGGTTAGGTGCAGAGTACCGGTACTATCCCAGTCCTATAATATCTACGAGAAATAGAGATAGCGTATTCGTAGAGATTGGGCATACCATCATCAATTTGTTAGCTGATTTTAGGTGAGACTACGATAAGTTCACTATCTGATATTTATTGACACTGCTTATGTTTGAATTACCAGCTTAACTGATTTTTTGATCTTAAAAAATAATTGCATCAAGTCCATTAACTCAGTGTTTCCCATTCATTAGTTTGTGAAAATAATGATATCAACGTCATAAAACCGCATGGATTATACTTAAAAACTGTTACTTGCAGTTTTTTTTTGAAATAATCTATATGTAAATTCTCAAAAACTACTTGAATTTTGTTGCGGTTGTTTATAAGTATAAACAATACGGACTTGAGTACTTTCAAGTGTCTGCATGATACTATCGCCGCATTACCAACAAGTAATGACTAGGTTTTTGGCAATAGCTTTTTTCCTATTAGTCGGATTTTTTATGTGTGGTCTCATTTTATAGGTCTCGTAAATGCCTAAAAATATTATTAGAGGAGTTTTTTCGTTCCTTTCGATTGAATCCCAAATATTAGTAAGGTTGACCTGATTGCGAAGAACTCATAATTTTGTTTCGTTCAAGGAACTTCTCGTACTCTCTACCCCAAATCCGCGGTCTGACAATCCACATGGAGGACAAGAACACCACGGTGAGCATCCCCGTGAACCGGTACGACCAAGTGGTGAAATCCCTCAATAACTCCAGCGACCACATCCTCGCGTTTGCAGGCAACTTTAGTTCTCAAGCGGACTCGCATCTGGTGTGCATCCAGGACACGCAGGGCAACGAAGACTGCTACTCCACCCATGCGATCAACATACAGAACAAGCCTAGAAAGATAACGGGAGCCAGTTTCATCGTGTTCAATGGGGCGCTCAAGTCTACCAGCGGGCTGACTGCAAAGTCAAATATTGTTGAGGATGGGCTGATGATTCAGGTACGTATATTCATTTATTTAGATTATCATTTTCCGTTTTATTGCGTTAATAATTCAGAAAATGTGGTTACATTTATGTAGAAAATGGTTTCATCTGCCATCTCTCGGCAAACGGCTACAACTACTGCTGTAACCATTTTCCACATAAATATAACCACATTTTCTGAATTATTAACGCATTAAAACGGAAAATTTAAATTTTTGAGATGTAACCCTTTTCTTCCAAATGAACGATATGGTACCTGTTATGTAAACCTATAATTTAAAACAAAGAAAAAAGATTATGCATATATGATTCTAAAAAACAGCTTATGTTATTGAAAACAACAAAACAACAACGTTAAAACATCAAAATACACATGAGATACATCGGACTAGAGCACTTTGCTCATCAAATCTCACAGGAACTGTCGATTCAAACCTTCCGAAAAATATTCCTCCATAGTATAAACTAATGTTTTGTCAAAATTTCTTTTAAATTTCTTTTAGAGCTTATGCGAGGAAGGTTTTTAATATTATCAGGCAATTTATGAAATACCTTGATGCCCATTAAATTTGAACTATGTTCCATGGTGGACAGTCTGTGTGAGGGTGTTCCAAGTAACTGATTCCCAGTTTAGTAGTTATTTTTATTTAATTTTTTAAAAGAATTTATGTTGGTCTTAACATATGAAAACAGTTGGAAAATATACACTGATACTAATGTTAAAATATCAAGAACTTTATATAATTGTCTGCAGCTGGTTCTTCTATGCGCACCAGATATACCTCTGGTCGCTTTTTTGTAGAACAAACATTATCTGGCATTGCCCTTGCTAATATACCGTACGAATCGACAAAGTATATTAATAAAATAGATTTATCTATACTAAAACATAGAGTTGAACATAACAAACGCCAATCGTGATATTCACGTGATCGGCCAGCAACAGGTGGACACGGCAGCGCTCATTGCCGCCATACCTCTGCCACGTCAGTACGGGAGCAGCCGTAATACAGAGTCGCAATCAGGCGTTTGCGTGGCGTGTTGGCGTGCATCCTGCTTTTTTAGTTTTTTAGTATTTCTTCATTTCGCGGTTTTCATTTGCTTTTGTTAAGTTTTTATTGTATTTGCTGGATTTTTTATAGTTATTATAATTTGTTATTGTTATATATTACTGTGATCTGTAATCCAAGATGTCCAGTACAGATACTGCTGACGAGACTGTGAGTTGTTGCTTGAGTCCAGTTAGAAAACGATCCAAAAGAAGAATTTGAGTATCGAGATGAAAGAGGTTATTTTGAATGTGTTCAAAAAGGAGATAGAGGAAGATGGAACATCCTCGGTCGAAGACGTCGCTTCGAAAGTTGCTGATAGAATTGGAGTATGTCGCGCTTCGATTTTTAATGTTTTGAGGGAATATAAAGCTAATCATACATTTTCCAAACCTAAGACAAATCAAAATCGCCCAAGCATTATACAATCGATAGATGAGGCTAATAAACATGCAATAAGGAGGGAAGTGCATGAATACTTTTTTTTTAATGAAATACCCACGGTGGAAAAAGTACTCACACAAGTAAATGAAGATGCTATGTTGCCTAGTTTCAAGCGGTCAAGAACTCATAATCTGGAGAAGAGGATATTTGACCGAAATCAAAAAATATAGGAAGCAAAAAAGGACAATTTATTATTTGGATGAAACCTGGGTTAATGCTGGTCATACTACTCCTAAGGTATGGGTCGATGAAACCGTGACCTCATCTAGGAGGACATTTCTAGATGGACTGTCCACCGGTTTGAAAAATCCATCAGGTAAACTTTTAATCGTAACTTAACAAAAGATACTTGAACATCCTTTAAATTATTTTGTCTTTCAAAGTAATTTGATATTTCAGGATATAATCAAGAAAACGTTAACTTTTCTTAGCTTGTATACTTTATTTAATTGAAATCATTTTGTTTCTACAATATTTTACTTCTCACGCATAGACCAGGAATTCCGAATTCAAAATAACATTCATGACACTAGTTTACGTCGGTCTGTCTATCTGTTGGCTGAACAGTCTTCTCTTTCCGGACTTAACTACGCGTGCTATGTTTGTATCTGAATTACATCGTATTGTTGACGAACCAGATTCTTAGAACCTTGTATCTCATCGAAAAAAGTTGAAATACAAAATTGTTTTCGAGCAAAGAATATCAGCTTTGAGGACTCAATGCTAAGAGTCCAGCTATTGAAAATTGTCAAAGAACATAAGGCTGCATACGAAAAATATGCAGTCGATGAGATGGCAGCTAGCCATAACAAAACAGTCCTTCCTTCGTCTGCCCCCATATCACTGTGAGCTAAATCCCATCGAGCTCGTATGGGCGGATGTTATAAACTTTGTGGCACAACATAACACTACGTATAAATTTGTCGACCTCAAGGTACTTTTTGATGAAGCCCTAAGCAGAATCGGAGCCGAGAAATGGGACAAGTGTGTTCGGCATGTGATAACAAAAGTCGAGACAAAGATGTGGGAGCTCGATAATATTTTAGAAAGATAAGTCCAACCACTGATAATTGAATTTGGCCAGAATGATACAAGTGATGAGGATGACAGCTCAAGTTCAACATTCGGATAAACAATGTTAATAGTTGTACGTAGAATTAAAATGATTACATTCCTTTTCAAATGGCGCGTTTATGATTTATGGAAAATCCAATGGAAGTCTTTTATAGTGCGCATAGTGTTATAGATCTGCCATATTTTACTTCAGTCGCAATCATGAAGAATTTTTTCTAAGATATAGCTTCCGCAATCGATAAATCGTTTGGCATCATTCATTGCAAAAAGGTGCTGAATACGACTCTGTACAAACCGTCAGCCTTCGAGATACGTGTGTGCAGTGCATGACTATGTTTACATCAACTCTATCTTGGACTTGGTTTTAGTGTACAGTGCTGCGTAACTGGTATACAGTATATTCAGATAAGAGATAGACCGGATGTAAACAAAAGGTTCGGGTGATTTTCACGCTAACGCCGCCGTCTCGACGTAAAACAGGAGCCCTCATTGGTCAATTCGCAATTAAATGCCTATGCCGAGCGGCAGAGCAGTCGTATCAAGGCAGAGTCACATTCAGGTTCAGACGTGTTACGTATGTCGTGTGCATCATTGCAATTTGATATTTCTTTGGACGTTTTCGTTTGTTATCTTATTAAGTTGTTGAGTTTGCCGTTGTTATTGTTATACCTTGTTATTGATTGTTATTGTTATCAACTGCTTGCGCAAAATGCCCAGTAGTACAGATACTGCCGATGAAGTTGTAAACTCCTGTAGTCCACCTAGGAAACGCTCTAAAAAAAGACACCTGAGTGCAGAAATGAAAGAGGTCATTTTGAATATATATAAGATCGAGCGCGAGGAGAACGAGGCATCAACCATCAAAGAAATTGTTGTGAAGGTTTCTCACAAAGTTGGGGTGTGTCGCGCATCAGTGTTTAATGTGTTAAGACAATACAAAAAAATCACACCTTTTCTGAGCCAATGACCAGTAAACATCGCAAAAGTATTGTTAAATCATTGGATGAAGCTGATAAGCATGCGATTAGGAGGAAAGTGCATGAATTCTTCTTTAGTAATGAAATACCTACTATAGATAAAGTACTGCAGGAGGTAAATGGAGATACAACGTTGCCAAATTTCAAACGATCAACTTTCCATGCGTTACTGAAGCATTTAAATTTCAAATGGAAAAAACGGGGTCGTAATAGTTTACTACTGGATAGAGAAGAAATTGTGCTATGGAGGAGGAATTATTTAACAAAAATTGGGAAATATAGAAATCAAAACAGGAAGATTTATTACCTTGATGAAACGTGGGTAAACGCAGGACACACTACAAGTAAAGTATGGGTTGATGATTCTGTAACTTCATCCAGGAGGGCCTTTCTAGATGGACTGTCCACCGGATTAAAAAATCCAGCAGGTAAATACGAGTAATAGACAACAATCGGGTGTTTTTCAAACCTTGGGAACAAGGTTCTAAACATTAATTCCAGGGGGCAGATAAAACTTATTACAAGTAACAAAACTTTTATAACTTTCGATAAAATGCGTGGATGTTTTATTGTCATTTTCATTTGTTAGAACTTTTTTAAGCCATGTTTTTATGTGTTTTCGATATTTCAATAATTTTTTAATATAATCTTAAAATATGTCGAATATTATAAACTTAAAAAAAGTTACTAAGTTTTATATTGTGTACCGTTCCTAATATTTCTAATCATTTTAATTCATACTTTAAGCTTTATAAAGTTATAATTTGTTAATATTAATATTTGCGCGTATTTCAGGTTCCTGATCATTCATTTTTTAAAGGTTTATAACTTTAAATTAAATTGTGAAGCGCTGAGTAATCATACGACGTTCAATATTCTTTCTTTCAATATGACTAAATAATCCCAATTATAGCAATCTGATACTCATGCCTTAATGTTTTTTCGCTGAATGTGATGAAAACATTTGAAAAAGGTTCGCTTATTGAAATAAATCTACACCAGTTAGTACTTCTATTTCCAGGTAAAGGGAAAAGGCTCATTATCTGCCATATTGGCAGTGGGGATGGATTTGTTGTTGACGGTCTGTGGTGCTTTGAGTCTAAGAAAACTTTAGATTACCACGAGGAAATGAATGGCCAATCGTTTGAACAGTGGTTTTCAAAAATTTTACCGAACTTAGAGGAAAACGCAGTAATTGTGTTGGATAATGCGCCTTATCATTCTCGAAGAATGGAGAAGGTCCCAACAACGGCTTCAAGGAAAGTTGATGTTCAAAATTGGCTCCGCTCGAAAAATATCAACTTTGAAGAAGCAATGCTGAAAGTACAATTATTAAGAATTGTCAAGGATCACAAGGCGGAATATAAAAAATACGCCATTGACGAAATGGCAGCAAGTCAAAATAAAACTGTGCTCCGTTTACCCCCATACCATTGCGAGCTCAATCCCATTGAGCTCATATGGGCAGAG